TGCTGCTCCCGTAGATTTCCCTTTGTTGGGTCGCCTCAGTAGTTTGACAGATGACTATAAATCTCCTCCACCCCTCTCGGCTCTCGGCTTTCCTCAGTGTGCCCCACAGCTCCTCCGTGGCTGTCCATTCTCGGATGTTTTCCTCCCATCTTTACTTCCGTCTGTCTATCCTCGGATGTTATCCTCCCGTCTTTACTTCTGTCTGTCTATCCTCGGATGTTATCCTCCCATCTTTACTTCCGTCTGTCTATCCTCGGATGTTATCCTCCCATCTTTACTTCTGTCTGCCTCTCCTCCGTCCTTCCTTCGTCCACCCTGCTCTGTGCCCTGAAGAATGGATTCAGCAAGGCCTGAAGAAAGGGGTGACACGGCCGTACCATTTCAGCGTGCGTTGCTTGACCAATGATAGGAGGCCGGTGTAAGGCCCGGTTACATTTTATGTCACGCGTCTTTTCATTTCTTCACTGGTGACACGGTCTCTTCTTCTTTAATAAGCTTTTCATTGCCATTTTCACAGAGGCGAGTCTTGGGCATTATCGCAAGGCGGAACCCATCCCTCTCCTTAGTTTTAGTTTTAGTAAGGTTTTACGCGCTCGCAATCGTATGAGGTCATAGGAGTGCCAAGGGGTGGATGTCAACAGAGCCGCCCAAAAGGGGAATCAGGCTTACTCTACTCACCTCTCCAGCCTCAACAGCTCAAAGTCTGCTTCGACTATCAAGGCACCTCGGAAATAGCAGTTCACAAGAGAGAGACAAACATACAAAACAAGTAGATAGAGGGAAAATGACGATAGTAAGGATGAGGGGAAAAAAGCAGCAGTTTTCACTATGTTGTATCGGGGCACAGTATGAGCATGACATTGATAAATCAGCCCATGTACAATTCTACTGTGCATAAGAACATGTTGATATCCCCCCTTTGGGAATGGCCTAAAGACACTTCAGTCTGTAGCACTGCCCTTGGGGAGGGGGGGCACACATCCCTCTCCATGCCCGGCCACATCCGAGTTCCCCCTATAAATTATACACTTTCTCCAAGTAAAAACCAGTCGAATTAAACTAAATTAACCTGGCACATTTATCCCAGTACAGGACTCTGCCATAAATCCTAATCCTACCTCAGTAAAAAAAATAATGTAAAAAAATTTATCGGTTATTTCGGAACCAAGTCGTTACCCGGCACTTTCTGCAGCCTCTGTTTGAAGGTGCTGGCCTCTAGTAGCCTTGTGTCGGGGTCCTCATGAAGCTCCTGTCTGGCCCTCTGGAGCGCCTCGGGGCACATGCGACATACGTAGTGGCTGAACTCCTCATTGGCCGATACCGACATGGTGGATGGGTGGATGGGTGGATGGATGGATGGATGGGTGGGTGGATGGGTGGATGGGTGGGTGGG